ATAAAAATATTTACGTCGGGTTTGTAGTTGTTTTTGACATTTAACATTATTTAAACGTCTGTGTTTTACTAAAACCGTCGTCTAATATAGTCGGAAGTTGTCTTTTTATGCTTTTATGTATGAAATTGACGTCGGTTTTAGTGTTTTTTATGACGTGTAATATATTAACCACGTCGGTTATTTGCCGTCGTTATTTCATGTGTTAAAAGACGGCGGTTGATTTCTCGTCGGTTGTAAAACATGATACACGACGGTGGATTCCCGTTGTCTATTTCGTTTTTTCTAGTAGTGAGACCAACAGCCTCCACACAAAAAAATATCCAAGAAAGAAGGAAAGCAATCAATCAAGACAAGGCTTAGGTGGGCAGCAATATATATGAAAATTTTAAAAACAACTAGCAAGAATGTGCTAATACATTTACATATATGCCCCCTAAATTTAACAACCACAAAATACATAAGCCAACAATCCTAAAAGAATATAGCACAGCAGAATCTCGAGGGTTTCAAGGATCATGTTAGGTGACTAGAGTATACATTTTCATGTCGTGATCAGAACAACGATCAAGTTGGAGAAGGCCACTAATGACAACAACATGAAAATACAAAAAGATAAGACAACTTATCAAGATGACTAGTAAAATGAGGCAACCGTGATTTTCTTAGTCAAGTAGAATACCATAATACCACTATTCTGGACCAGCAATGCACACGCTAAAGAACACATCCCAATGTGAAAACAGAACATAAGACCTTTGACACCAACCAAGAAGGACAAGAAGTGATGTTAAATAAAACTAAATAAGAGAAATGACACACAGCGCAGCAACGTTTCTCAAACAGTCCAAAATAGAGCTGAAGCGAAGTTTTCCAAGGGCACGTAAAGGACAAGCTTCCCCTAAACAAGAGAATTGACATTTGATGTCATCAACCAATCTCATACCAGTCCAAAACATGAGAATACAGCCAAAACAACCATCATTGAAGTTGTTGACAACAACAACATCAACTTCAGCCTACACAAAAATGACTCACTGAAACCATGAGAGTTCAACAGACAACCAAGTCATTTAAAGTAAAAATGTTCAAAACCAAGAGGGACTAAATACCTTAGAAGGCAAAATCAGAATGACTTAGAAATACAACGCAAATTCATGGAATGATCAATTGCAATTTGGCCAATGACAAACTAACAACATGACATGTTCATAATTGAAAACAACATATTGACCACCGTAACAAAACAAATACAAGAGAAACGAACAAGTAGTCAACAACACCAAAAGCGTTTTACTTTAAATAATTCTCGTGACGAACATCAGAATGCAGACAAAGTCCAAAAACTTCCAAATGTCATCAAAAGGAGATCAAATGACATGTAAAATAGGCTCCCCTTCATAAGAAAAATCATAACAAATGCGGAGTGCCAAAACACACTAATAGATAATCATACCAGACAAGGGATCAAAGCTCCAAAATGTTATAAAGCACAGATGACAGTGGCATGGGATAAAAGGATAGCGTGATTACGAACCAACATTCACAAAGAGCTTATCATGTGAAACTCGAGGCTTGGAGTTAGAAAAAACTAGCTTATGCAAAAGCAATGTAAATGTTGCAACATGCAATCGGCTCCATTAAGCTAGGATTATATTCATGATCGAAGTTCGACATCTACATCGATCATGATCAAGTTCTTTGGCTTTTGGGGGCGTGAAGGTTGGGCAGTTGCGTTCATGATCAAAGTTCTGCGTCTACATTGATTTGGGAATAATAAAACAACATGATATCAGATAGAAACCATAAATTGAAGCATACACAAAAGTAACACTTTGGGATAAACATCTTGTAGGTATTCTACATCCTAAAAAAAACATAAAATATTATGTCTATGAGTTTTATAATACATTGATTTTTTATCTTCTCATCACAAATTTATCTTTTCATCGCATCTACATCATCACTAGTAGTGGACCGATTTTAATTTTTGAGTTGCAACTTGCTTAGAAGCTCTACAACCAAAGCCAAAACAATACAATTTCATATGCATATTACAAACCACCTTGTGCAATTCTTGAATTTTGATCGGACCTTGTGCAATACTCGCAAGTGTACGAGCTGTTTGGTAGTATAGCATATGTAAGTGCGAGGTCGATCTCACGAGGATTGATGATAGATTGATTCAATTTGATCCCCTACACAAAACAGAGAAAGAAAAGAAAAGAACTAACTCAAGCAAATCAATTAACAAGTTCAATTTACATTCTCATATTGATTCTAGCTAAAGTATGATTAAGCCTTGGTGCCTGGTCCTAACCTTGTATTCCTAATTCCCTAATTTGATCTTTTGTTGTCGAACCTAAATTAAGCATTAGAAATCCATTAAGCATAGAAGAATGTTTTAAATAACCAAACATGTATCTAATCTCTGTTGTCGAATGTCCATATGTACTCTTCCTATTCATAGTTTAATTCGAATTAAGGCATATGGTGTCCACTCTTAATTCCAACCAAGATAGCTAACATACATGTTTTAATGGTGATCAATCATTCAAACAAGCATATTAACTTATAAGCATAATGAATAGGAACAAGAACCATAATTGAAACTTGGAAACTGATCAAACTTGAAAACTTCAAATAAGAAATTACATGACAATGAAGATTACGACTAAGATTTCTATTGCGATTTCTAGAATCCAAATAGTGTTTTATGAGTTACGATTTGCGGATGGAGATGTATGATTTTTTATTTCCAATTCATAATTATGGAGTAGGAGCTTGGTCTAAATCCAATTAGAGTCTAAGCAATATGATCTGTGAGAATTTAGATGAAAATTTTATTGATCAACTTGGTTGAGAGAGCTTTAGAGAAATGCGAAGCTAACGTCTCAAAGTGACACGAAGACCACGCTTCAGAGAAATCACACTTACAAAAAATGGGCTTAAGAAAATGTGCTTATTTCTTTGTTTCATTTAAAAACATGCTTTGATTTAATAGTTCCCTAGCCCCTTGTCACACACGCAAAGAGATATGAAGGCGACGCTTCATAGAGATCACACTTACCAAAAATGGGCTTTATTTCATTTAAAAGATCAAACTATGAATTAATAGTTCACTAGCCCTACGCGTGTGCCAGTTGGATTTTTTTTTTACTCAGTTTACGCGTGTGCCCCTTAACGTTTATAATACTATTTTTTCCTTTTATATTTTATTTAATTAAATTTAAACATATTGTATGTGTACTAATTTAGCCTTATTAAATAACATATTTTCTTTTATGCGGACGTTTGGATGTTATTATCGTGCGAACGCCATGTATTTTTTACTACCCCTCCTTGCTTTCCTCCTTGTCTATGATGGCATCCGCACGATAATAACGTGCAGACATCCGAATGAGAGTTTTTGCCTTTATATTCACTTTTAAGAGTTTTTAGATATTCCCTCAAAGATCATCTATGCAAAAGAATCACTGGAATCCGAAACGATTTTACCAATCAATTAGATTGTTATTATAGTCTTTTGTTGAAGCACCATATTCGTCTATTTTGTCGGTCCCAATTAGATGCCTTAATGATTTTCAATATGCATGATTTTTTACAAGGATGGTCTATGAATAAAGATGTGAAAAATATGGTTTTGATCATTGAAATTTTTTTTGTAGGGATCCCTCAATAGAAGGGGAATGTGTATATATGTTCCACTTTATATACTACTATAGCAATTGATGTTCCAATATTTCATATATATTTTATGCCTCATTTACTTATTTATTTGTTAATTTTCTTGGATTAAATTGGTTGTTTTAATTGGTTTTGTGAGATTTGTGAAGAAATTGTGGAAATAAGGGAAAGTGTGCTAAAAAGGGTAAGAAGATGAAGATTGGAGAGTAATTAAAAAGAAGCTAAGTCATTCCTTTTGTTGCAAGGAGTGTTGTCAAATTTCCTAGTTCAAGATGGTTCAAGTCTTACCAAGTCAAACAAGGAGAAATAAAGAAGACCTTATATTAGAAGGAATCCTATTTTTATAACAATTGTAATTATACCTTAGATAGGTAGGATTTTAGAGTATTATAAATAGGGAATTTCAGCCATTGATCAAAGGATCCTCCACCATCAAATTCCTACATATTCATACTCATAGCCGAAACACCCAAAGGAGAATACAAAGAGAGCTTGTGCAACCTTGGCATTCTACTTGGAGAATTCGGTGCATGTCTTCATCAACCATCATGATTCTCAATAAGTCCTTCATGAACTAATTTCTTTTACTAGGGCCACGATGTAGCCTAGCTATGAATACTCAAATTCTTTGATATTGTTAATTTTACTTAATGCTTTCAATTAATTGGCCACTAATTGCATGATTGGAAGAATTGGATTGAGACCGGAAGGAGATTCCTAATAAATAGCTTCTTGTAACAAGTACCATAAATTACATAGTTGACTCGGAAGATTTGGTTATGGCTTGTGTAGTTTAATGTTTTCCACAAATCTTTATGGGTTATTAGCCATCTAAATCCAGAACTAGAAATAGAGTGGGTTGACGGTACGGAACACAACTAACATAACTTGAAAGGGAGTATTGGTGAAGTAAGGGAAAACGATTATCAACATGTTAGGTAATTATGATTAACAAGTTAGAAGAATTTGGGTGGGATTAGCTAGGCGAAATCGGTGTCCTAGTGCTTCATTATCGTTGTTGTCATCTTTTATATTATTTACTTAATATCAATTTATTTTACTTGCTTAATTAGATTTTAATAATCCTCTTATTGCTTAATTCAAATATAATTAGAAATAAATCACTCTAGTATTAATAGATTACCTTGATCCCTGTTAGAACAATACTCTATTTACTACTATATTAATTTGAGCGATATTTTCCACTTGCAATTATCTCATCAGCAATTTGACTAAAATTGTTGTAAAGCTCCTTTTTAATAGCATTTGAGAAAATAAAATTTTATTAATTAATGCTATAGAAAGTACATTGTGTAGTAGTGTACCTTCGTAGCCCTAAGGAGTCCATGCTAATGCCCATGCTATACAAGAACTCATATAAATCTATTAGCCGTGTGGGGAACAATGAAGTAAGCTCTTCTTCCACTTCATGCTTTGTCTGCAAAAGTTTTGATATCAAATTATTAAACATTCTTTTATATATAAATATATATAAATTTACAAAGTAATTTAAGGTGATATGCATACCGAAATTCTTTCATCGTCCTTGTCCACAAATTTATTAACATTCTCGAGTATGTCTCTTGAGTAATCAAACACTCCCAAGGCATTATTCTTATATGCACCTTCCCTTTTGGTTTTTTTTAAAAGAACTAACATAAAAGCCTTATATTTAGATTTTCCAATGATTGTGTTAATGTCAATATCATTATTCACCACATTTTGATACATATTTCTCCATGTATCTCTTCTCTCATATTGAAGATGCAACCAGGCGTCAAGAGGGAAAAAATATCTCTCATTAGATGATTGGAGCAGAGGATGATACCATAAGTCGTTAAAAGTCATCCTTCACGTATACAAGGAAAATTAATCCACAAGCAAAGATACTTTTATATAAATAATTATTATTATTTAAAAAAATAGTTAAAAGTTGATCAGATGGTTTTCTTACCCAAGGTGGTCGATCTTGCCATAGAAGTGCACTAACTCCACTATTGCAGCATTCTCCCCGAGCATTCTTGAAACCAAAGATTTGAATTCTTGTCTATAGCTTGGCAATTTAGTTTCAATACAAGGATTTGCAAGATAGGGGATCTTTGCTCTACCATGAATAATGACTATGTCACCATCGTTCAAGTTGCCAGAACGTATATCTTTCAACTCCAATTGGAATAGTAACTCAATAATATCCCTTTTGAAAAAGTAGAGTTAGTGTATGTTGACGTGAGTTAACCTATTAAATCAAGAAGATTTATTTCCTAAGTTAATTAGGTGATCTACTTTCTTGTTTCATATAGTTGAAACATCCTTGTATAATTAGGAGATATTCTCTTAATTACTGTATCTATTTTCTTGTAAAGCATCCTTGTAAACTCCTATATATACCTCCTTATAGAGAAGAATATAATTAACCTAAAGTATTCAAACCATATTCATATTTTAGCATGGTATCAGAGCCAGATTGATTGACTAGGTCTGAATTGGGCATTTACCCTTACCCAATATGTGGTGTTCACATGTTGGGTTTGAATGTTTACCCCTACCCCTTTACTCAATACGTGGTGTTCACGTGTTGGGCTTAAATAATTGACTATGATATGGACTTGGTTCCACGTGTGGCCCACTATGTGGTGGTCCCATGTAAAGAGGCGTGTTGAAGAATATAAAGTCCCACATTGGAAACTTGACTAAATAAATTACAACTTATAATAAGTGGTTCCACTCCTAATAATATCGAGGAAATTTACAAAGTAATTTAAGGTGATATGCATACCGAAATTCTTTCATCGTCCTTGTCCACAAATTTATTAACATTCTCGAGTATGTCTCTTGAGTAATCAAACCATTTTATATAAAACCCCACACCTGCTAAATAGTTAGTTAAGTTGGGAACAATATTGATGTTGCTAGTGGTGGGCCACATGCCCATCTCTCTGAAATTTAACAATGTACTAGTAGAGGAATTCATAAACGATGGAATTTAAAATGATTTAAATTAATGTTTTAAAATTTGTAAAATTTCTTATTTGGCTAATGGTTTTACACATGAACTTTACTATTTTCAAACTTCTATTCTCTTGGAATTTTAGAAATGACAACTATTTAGATAGAATTTAAAGTTAGAATTTATGCAATCCAAATTCCATATTTTTTTTGCGTAGAATTTCTAAATTTCTGTTTTTTAAAATTTAAACATGGAAATTGATGTATGTCAATATAGAAATTCTGACTCTTGTTTCCCACATCGGAAGGCACCATTACTGACATTTAGAAAGAAAGAAAAAATTTGTAATTTAAGAAAAAAAATAAATTATTGTTTGCAAACTGACCGAATAATTTTGCGATACTCGTCCACAACACGACCATCCTCCCATCGCGAAGTAACATCTGATCTTTTTAACATGTCCGCTAATGTGTAATGAGAAGATGTTTGTCCAGCATGACTTTCTGTGGCTACAACTTTAGCAGCACTAGGTAAAGAATCAAGATTGGCAGATGAATCAGAGCCAGACAGCTTCGGGAAGGATTTTAAAAATTCTGGAATATCAACTGTAGATGAAGGAGCTCCTTCAACGAAATCATTCTCCATATATATATGAATCTCTCACACCCTTGCTTCTCCGTTAGCAACTCTCTTTTCTCTCTTATAAGTTGTGTACACCTACAAAGACTTATTTTATAACGTATATATTGGAGGTATAAACTTATTAAAACCAGGAAACAAATTAGAAATAGAAAAAAGAAAACAAATGCAAACAGGTTACCAGCAAGTCAATGGCTATCGCTTTCTCTGTAATAAGGAAAGTTCAATCATTTTATCTGTTGTTGATGAGATAACTCTTAGTTCGTCTGAAAGGCCACTCTGATCTCATAAGAGATGAAAATTCAAAACATGAGAGAGAGAGAGAGAGAGAGAGAGAGAGGTGATCGGAGAATCTTAACGAGAAAGAATTACTCACTTGCCGAACGGGAACTGGAACGTGCACTACTGACAAGAAATAAGACGGGATGAAATGGAAGGGGGTTCTTCCGAGATCGGATCTTGGACTATTTGGAAATTCAGAAATCCTTAGTGCAGAAAAACCGGAAAAGGATTTCTTAGTGGAGGGAGGTGGGAAACATGTGGGCCTTATCTCCTTTGACTTGAGTTGCTGGAGGTTGTTTCCTTTGTAAGCACCCCAAGAATAAATAATCATGTTAGACATCACAGTGATGTGGCGGACCATTCTTCAATTTATGCCCTGTTTCATGGCATGATGGTTGGTTGGGGTGTTGTTTCACTTGGATTTTGTTGACCCACTTATATAGGTTAGAGCATCTCCAACAGTAGTAATAAATTGAACTCGTCAAATTAAAAATTTGTTGATGAATGTGGTAATTTAAAAACATCTGTTTGCTATTTTAATAATTTATGCTCTAGTAGATTCTTCAATTCAATTAATAAAGTGTGTATAAAAAAACGAAAACATGTGAAGAATGTCTATATATTTAATATCTTAAAAGAAAAAGTGCATGTTTTTAGCATTTTCAATGTAGGTTTTGTTCTTCCAAAGTAAAATAAATGTTTTGAAAAACCAGAGCTATTGAAGAGACTGTTGAAGATGCTCTTAGGGTAGGGGCATCAACAATCATGCTCTTTATTTTTCAGTTAAAATTTAGTTGCAAGAGTCATAAATACTTTAATTCTTTCAGCTTCGGAATAAAGTGTAGACAAAAATATTTAGCATTAATAACAATCATGCCTTTCCCTTTACTTTTGTTGTTGTCGTTGCCATTGCTTTGCCGTTAATTTTGCCTCTTGATGTTCCCCATTTTTTTTAGGGTTTGCTATTGTCTATTTCCATTGCTATTCTGATAGCGTTAATCATACCGTTCACAATGCTCGTGTCATCAACAAAGATAAGATTTGGCTCTGGCATCGTCGCCTAGGACATTCGTCATTTGGTTACCTCAAGTTTTTTTTTTCCATATTTACTTGTCTTCTACACTCCGTCATCCCTACATCACTACTGTCAATGGTGTCCCTTTTCCAGTCACGGATGAAGGATCTGTTTGTCTTTCTCACACTTATCTCTCTCTCAAATGCCTTGCTTATCCCTAACCTCAATTCCAATTTATTATCAGTTGCTAAATTTCTTCACTCATACAATTGTTATGCTACTTTATATCCTTCCTATTGCCAGTTTCAGGATCTTAACACTCAAGAGACAATTGGCATGTTACACGGAGGGGGGTTGTATTACTTAGCACTACCAGCTGCAGCCTATTCTGATAGTGTTAATCATACCACCCATCGCCTAGGACATTCGTCATTTGGTTATATATATATATATATATATTTTCCATCTTTACTTCTCCATCATGTGGAGTATGAGTTCAAATGTGAAACTTGTGTCTTGGCTAAAAGTCATTGTGTTTTTTATCCATTGAGTAATCATACAACTTCTTTGCCCTTTGATTTAATTCATTATGATGTTTGGGGTCCTGCTAAGGTTGCTCCGAACAAAAGAATTGATTTGTCAACTTTATTGATGATTGTTCAAAGATGACTTCGGTTTTCTTGATGGCTCACAAAAGGGGCATTTCTTCCATTTTGTGTAATTTCCATACTATGATCTTAACTCAATTCAATGTGTCAATCAAGGTCTTTTGCTCGGACAATGTCAGTGAATATGTGAATCACACTTTAGCTCAATTCCATACTTCGCTTGGTTGTAAATGATGAAATGCATGAATTGCTTGAGATTTTAACATGTTGGATTGTGGTAGGTGCAAGGTACATGCTGCCAATTTTTTATAGAATCACAAAAGTGTTTGCCTTATTGCCTCTATGTTTTTTTTTCCTCTGCAGGGTCTTCCTTATGTGATCTGATTTTTCTTTCACCGCACCCCAACACGTATACTCCCTTCAAATATTGCAAGGACTGGAATGATTTTCCTTGATAGCATGACCTTTCTTTTTTCTTTTTTTCTTTTTTCAAGATTGACACATGATATTGTTTGTGCATGGTGCTTGTTAACAGCTTGGGATCCCATCTAAATGGCTTTGCTTGATATAATTACTGCTAAGAGGCTTAGTTTTTTTAAAAAAAGTTTGATTGTCTATTTTTTTTTTCTTCAAAGAACATGTTTTGCAAAACAGAAGAAGGTAAAAGTAAGAAAAGAATTATAGAGGCTTTTTTCTTTTTCCAAAATACTCCATTCTCATTGCAAATATCATCTTACACCTTGGCATGCTATAATGGTGGTGCATTCTACAAAAGTTGTGAAAGCATATGGTGAAAACACAAAAGGAGTTCATCTTTGAAATAAATTTGAAAAGCCAAAAACAAAAGGATAGGTGCAAAAGCAACTCAGCAGTAGTAAGGCTTTGAGCCACTTTGCATTGATGAATACTCCAATCAAATCAAGCCCCCAAGTATGAAAGGGCTAAGCAGTGTGCATCAACTCAGGGCTAAGCAGTAAGGCTTTGAGCCACTTTGCATTGATGAATACTCCAATCAAATCAAGCCCCCAAGTATGAAAGGGCTAAGCAGTGTGCATGACTTGCAATAGCATGAAGGCTTGTGGCTTAGGTTGGCATGGATTTCGCATGTGTTGTACTAGGCTGCCATGCTCTACAGAGATTTTTAATAGAGCCACAGCCGCTGCTTTTCTTGCATGTGTCTTATGCTAATCAAAGAGTAATTTGAATTTCAGGTTTCTATGGAGAGTTTGTGAGGCAATAGGTCCCTTTTTTAGACACATGCATTGCCCCATTACACTTTCTTCAACTTCTGTGAGGTTATGAGAGGTTACTGCAACTGTCTCTCGATAATCTCACTGACCAAATGAAGCCCCCGAGTGGCGTTTTTTCGACATGTCCAATGTGAATACTTTATTGCTAGAACCATCCTCCCATCCATTAGCAAGTGGCCATTGGGTGTTATAGCTTGAGGATTTTGAATATTTACGCCAGTATGCTTTCTCCGTGTTTCCGCAAGGCTCCCGAATGGCCTCCGGTGGCTTTGGGTCATTCTTCCATGGGTGGCACAATTCATTGTCGTCGAGCAAGTCATCAAAGTATGTAACGGTAGCCATCCCCTTTCCCCTTCATTTTGGTAAGGGGTCTTCGTCAATAGCTTGCCTCTTAGAGGGTAGCTCAAGAGTTCCGTCGTGTATCTTGGCGTGCAAGATCTTCCTTAAAGTTTGACAGGCAGTGGTCGGATGTTGATAAGCCTATATTTTATGCATCCTTTACTTATTTATTTGTTAATTTCCTTGGGTTAAATTGGTTGTTTAATTTGTTTTGTGAGATTTGTGAAGGAATCGTGAAACATGAGAAATTGAGGTAAAAAGGTGCAAGATGAAGATTAGAGATTAGTCAAGTCAAGAAGCCAAGTCATTCCTTTTGTCGCAAGGAATGTTGTCAAATTTCCTAGTTCAAGATGGTTCAAGTCTTATCAAGTCAAACAAGGAGAAATAAAGAAGAACTTATATTAGAAGGAATCCTATTTTTATAACAATTGTAATTATACCGTAGATAGGTAGGATTTCTAGGAGTTTTATAAATAGGGAGTTTTGGTCATTGATCAAAGGATCCATCATCCTCCATCCTCCATCCTATACCATCAAATTCCTACATATTCATACTCATAGCCGAAACATCCAAAGGAGAATATGAAGAGCTTGCGCAACCTTGGTGTTCTACTTGGAGAATTTCGTGCCTTCCATGTCTTCATCAACCATCATGATTCTCAATAAGTCCTTCATGAACTAATTTCTTTTACTAGGGTTACAATGTAGCCTAGCTATGAATACTCAAATTCTTTGATATTGTTAATTTTATTTATCTATACATGTTGAGTGCTTGTTACCGGTATTAATGCTTTCAATTAATTGGCCACTAATTGCATGATTGGAAGAATTGGGTTGAGACCGGAAGGAGATTCCTAATGAAAAGCTTCTAGTAACAAGTACCATAAATTACATAGCCGACTTAGAAGATTAGGTTATGGTTTATGTAATCTTCAATGTTTTCCACAAATCTTAATGGTTCTTAGCTATCTAAATCCATAACTAGGAATAGAGTGGGTTGATGGTAAAGAATACAACTAATATAACTCGGAAGAGAGTATTGGTGAGGTAAGGGAAAGTGATTATCAACATGTTAGGTAATTAGGATTAACAAGCTAAAATAATTTGGGTGGGATTAGCTAGGTGAAATCGGTGCCTTAGTGCTTTATCATCTTTGTTTTCATCTTTTACATTATTTACTTAATCTCAATTTATTTTACTTGCTTAATTAGATTTTAAAAATTTTAATCATCATAATTCTCTTATCGTTTAATTCAAATATAATTAGAAATAAATCACTCTAGTATTTAATAGATTAACTTGATCTCTGTTGGAACGATACTTTATTTACTACTATACTAATTTGAAAGATATTGTCCACTTGCAATTAATCACATCATACCCACAAATTGGTGATAACGACAATATCTTAGATCACCCTTTTCTTCCCTAGTAGGGGGGTTTGATTGCACCATCAGCAAATATTGTATCAAGAATGGCATGAAACTCTTCATCTAATGGCGGGTACGTCTCCCTGTCTTTTCTGTTGCATGAATTATAGTCACTGGGTGATTTGGCATCCTTATCTAATGTCTGGTGTGCTTCTTTCTCTTCACTCCTCCAAGCTTCCTGCCCAGTTAGTTTGACTGACATGCTTGTTTTCCTTACTACTTCTAGTAGCCAAGAAAATTGGCTGATACCAATATTTTCCAGATAGACTTTGTAGTCTGCCATGATGTTACTTATGCAGATTTCGAGAGGCGCTTCTTCATCCTTCTCATCATAGCAGTCTAAAGCCAAGTCCTAGAATCGGCGCATGAAGTCCACAAGGTCTTCCCCATGCTTTTGGCAGGTGTTGTTGAGTTGAGTCGTAGTGACTCTTTCCTCATGCTGGAAGTACTTCTTACAGAACCTGCCAGCCAAATCTTCCCAAGAGCTAGTAGAACCCGGTGCCAATGTTGTGTACAACGTATAAGCACGGTCTGTGAGGCTTTTTGAAAACTCCCAGAGACGGAAGTTATGATCATCGGCGTGTGTACCACGTATTCGTGGGTGACAAAAGATGGCCCCTTTTGTTCAGAACCCTTTCAGGCAGCGGCAAACTCATCTTGGGTGGTCTTTCATTTTCTTCACTCAACTGGGGGAGGCAGCAATTTTTTGTGTTTGGAAGGGCTTCTTAATTCCTTGAACCAATTAATTTTGAGTTTGGAATAGCTAAGAGTGCATTAAGCTTAAGGATAGGATTGAGAAAAATACTAAAAGAATCTACAATCATGCTCCCTATTATTTAGTTAAAATTTAATTAAAAAGCTATTTTATGAGCTCTCTATAAAATTCCTCTCTAGAATTTATTTAAAGAGTTAATTTAGGGAGCTCATTACCCTGTGCTTTAAACTTAACCAAACTAGAGTCAAGAGTTCCGAGGACTTAAGTTGAATCTGAAGAGCTCACATTTCCACAGCTGAACAAGCTTTTTTTCTTCTTCTTGGTTTGTGAGTTGCACAAGCTTTTTTCTTCTTTCTTGGTTTGTGAGTTTAACAAAAGCTTTGTGCTAAGGAAGATGCATGCGACCACCTTTTAACCAAAACAAAAAACATAAGATTATAAAATAGGTAGTTTTTCTCTAATTTGGGAGAAAAACTTCCCTGGCACGGATGCCAGGGTAAGCTTCTAACTAAGTATCCCAATCAGTAATTTCTTGACAGCTGGCAACCACATTTTTAAAAAAAATTGGTTAAGTCCTTTCTCTCCTTTAGGAGAAAAACTTCCCTGGCACGGGTATGCCAGGGTCAGCTATCCAATTCAGTGTCCCAGCCCAATGAGATCACGCCAGCTGTCAACAACTTTGACTCTATCTTTTATTCTTCTTTTAAATGAAACTTTCCATTTAATATTTTATCAACACTTTTAGTGGGGACAAAATCTCCAGAATACCCTCCCACTCATTCCAATCTCCTCTTCTGACCAAAAACCCACGTGATTTCTCCTTTTTTTGGTTAGGAACGAAAATTCTTTCTTTTGTTGGGATATCTCTCCCTTAACAAACCAGCCACTTGGTTTCTTTGGTTTTTTTTTTTTTTTTTTATTTTTAATGGCTTTTAAAGAATAAAAATTAAATTGTTGCTTTTTTTAAATTTATTAAAAAATTAAAAAAAAAAAAGCTGGAGGGCCAAGCCCCATAAACAACACTTAGACAAGATTAATACAAACTAAGCGAGTTCTGTGAACCCCAGCAATATCATCTGTGAGAGCAAAGTTTCAAATTTCTCACAAAGCAAACAAGAAATACTTTATTTAGCTATTTGGATGTATTCTTGAAGGCTGCATTTTCTTTAAGTGCAATGTAATTCTTTCAAATCATTCAAAATCATTTTCTTCAAACAACACTTCAAAAGGAAAGATGGGTGGTATTGTTCCCCTATACAAAAGTGTAACCTTTGCCAAATAACAAAACAAAAGGAAATGGAACACACTAGCCAGCACATACATATAAGTGTAATTTTCAGATGATATACATCTTCTTCTTTGCAAAGTGTAACAATGGCCTCTACACATCAAAATGATCAAATTTTCGGATGCCCCTGTTCAAATAAGATATTCAACTAAAAATTAGAAAATTAATATAAGGCCTTGTCATAATAGGATTAGAAACTATAAGGACGATCTCTACCTATTGTCAACCAGCCTATATCAATCTTAACATCCACGAAATTGGTTGAAACCTCTACGACAACGACTTTTGGCCTGACTTTTGAGATAATGTTTATTTATATGTGACGAATACGACATGTTCTATAAATAAATATTACTAAATAGGAGAGGTGGTCTAAGAGCATCTCTAATCGATATGTCAAAAGTGCCACATAGATATTTAACAGTTAGAAATAATATATCACCTCACTCCAACCGAATTGTCAAAACTGATGTGGAATGAAGGCTGAAGGTTCAGCTGTTATTTTTGACATCCCAAAATCCCAAAAGCAAGATGTCAAATGAATATTTTATTATTTTTTAAAGACAGTTGGTTGTTATTTTCATTTATTATTTTCATTTATTATTTTTTTTATTCTTTATCTTGAATGATTTGATAGTTACATTAATTATTTATTTGGCATATCGGGTAGAGTGTAAAATTGTGTAAATATTAAATTCCACATAAACCATTAAATTTAAATTTAATATTTGGTATTTGACATATCCTTGGAGATGCTCGAAGGAATTTGAAAAGGACTACTATATGCGGGGACCATCTACGTGGGAACAGATCAATAATTCCACCTATTTTTGCAAAAGCCTCCATGTGGATGACCGAGTATTACCTGTTTGTTTCTTTGTTTCTTAATGCAAAGTCCTCTTCTCGAAAATATATATATATATTATATGTTGCAGTTCATCACTGGCAGCGACTCTGAACCTACTTTCTTATTTCTTATTGGGTAAAGACTACGCGTGTTATTTTACTCAAAACAGCCTTTGAAAGCTTCAAAGTTGTCTCTTTTTGACCAACAACATTATTACTCCCTGAGATTTTGATAAACTTTATTATCAAAATTACTATAAAACACCGTGGTGTTAAATTGTTTGTCATGTACAACATAACCTCAGGGGTGTAAGTGAAACCCTTTGTTTAAAGGAGGTGGTTTAAAGATAAAGAAATAAGAAGAATAACAAGTATTTTTTAGACCAAGTTATAGTGTCTTAGATATAAGGTAAAAAGTCACTTTTGGTCCATATAGTTTTAATTCCGTCAATTTTGCCATTGTAGTTTCGTATTTGTAGAAATTCAAGAACATGTTAGTATTCTTGTCAATTTCTTTAACGATGCTATGGGCAATTTCGTCAACTCAAAACCCTTGAGCGTAAAAGCTTGTTTTGAAATTCTCCCTATTTCATATTAGGGCTCGAAATTCAACCATTAATCCTAATTTTTGAAGAACCCTAAACCTAAATGACCAATTTCAAGACCTAATATGAAATTAGAGGAGTTTCAAACGAGTTTTTACACTCAAGGATTTTGGGTTGACGAAATTGCCCTTTGCATCGTTAAAGAAATTGACAGGAATACTAACTTGTCCTTGAATTGCTACAAATACGAAACTACAGGGTCAAAATTGACGGAATTGAAACTACAGGGTCAAAAGTGATTGAAGTACCAAACTACGTGGACCAAAAGTGACTTTTAGCCTAGATACAAAGAAGGGATGTCTCAATCTTTTTTCGTTGCGGTACAAGGGCGATTTTCATTTTTCAAACTTTTTTAGGCTGATGTCAGCATTTAATTAACAGTCAAATAAGAGAAGGAGTTATTTGGAATATTTTCAAAACCTCAAGGAGCTATGTGAAAATGAAAAATATATCAGGGATTTTAAGTAAAACTTGCATAGAATAAACAATCATAGCTCAACCCCACGACTGAAACGCTTTATAGTAATATGGCCTCTCTTCGGTTAGGAGGATAGCTTCTAACTTGCATTCGAAGTTTTTGATAAACTTGTACATTACAGATCTTTAACCAATCACGTTCCGTCGAGTGTGATAATTTTCTCGAAACATGATTTGTTAGAGATATGAAATTTGTGCAATATATTTTCATTCGCTTTGCTATTCCATGAAGTTCTCTTGAAGTTGCCATATATTTCCTATGCGTGTGCTCAAACATTGACTGAACAACCACCTAACAAACCCATGGAGACGAATTAGCAGTCGACCCGTGCAATCATTCAACAAGAGAGTGCTCTTTCTTTAAGGTTTGTTTTTTCTTGTTGATCTATTTCATCGTCATTTCATCTTTTCTGTGCTCTTGGATTGAGATTGCACAAGAGAGTGCTCTTCCTTTAAGTTTTTTTTTTTTTTTCTTGTTGATCTATTTCATCGTCATTTCATCTTTTCTGTGCTCTTGGATTGAGATTGCACAAGAGAGTGCTCTTCCTTTAAGTTTTTTTTTTTTTTTCTTGTTGATCTATTTCATCGTCATTTCATCTTTTCTGTGCTCTTGGATTGAGATTGCACAAGAGAGTGCTCTTCCTTTAAGTTTTTTTTTTTTTTTCTTGTTGATCTATTTCATCGTCATTTCATCTTTTCTGTGCTCTTGGATTGAGATTGCACAAGAGAGTGCTCTTCCTTTAAGTTTTTTTTTTTTTTTCTTGTTGATCTATTTCATCGTCATTTCATCTTTTCTGTGCTCTTGGATTGAGATTGCACAAGAGAGTGCTCTTCCTTTAAGTTTTTTTTTTTTTTTCTTGTTGATCTATTTCATCGTCATTTCATCTTTTCTGTGCTCTTGGATTGGATCTCAGGTTCATCATATATCCTATACTAACTCATGCGAGGAACCAAAAGTATCTGTATGAAGGTAGAATTTTCTTGTCGACTTCTTTCGTTCTGTGCAGGAAGGCGTCGGGACAACGTATCCAAAATTATTTGTATTAAGGTAGAATTTTCTTGGATATGGCACCCGCTGGTTTCGAACGCAGCTTAAAGACCACAATCTTGATCTCTCCTCCACCTGGTCTGTCGCAATTTCTCCTTGTCAATTTGGTATCTGTATTTTATTTAGGACAATTGTCCATTTATTTAGGACAATGCTTGGCTCCTGATGTATCAGGAGCCATTCCTCCTCAACCATGACTTGGGCTTCTTAAAAAACCAACACTTTTTTTTTTTTTTTTCCCTTCCTCTCTCCTCTTCCCCCAACCTTTTGGCTGGTTTTAACTGCTGACTCCCCAAAGGCACCGCCACCCCTGTTCCAAATCCACCCTCATCACCAACCTCGCCATGTAAACCTCCGGTCAATTTTGGAGCCCAAGACCCTGGATTGAAATCATTATGTGCTTTCAATTGTTTTTGAATTTGCAGCCAGAGCAGAAGTGATGGAGAAATGAGAGAGAGAGAGAGAGAGAGAGAAGAAAAAAGAAATTCGGTGGGCTGCCTTATCAGTTCAGTGGCCTGCCTTATCGGTTCATTGGTTTTTGAATTTTCTTGATGGGTTAGATCTTAGAATATTGCTCATGATAGATGAATATCAGATTCAACAACCCACATATATAAGATGATGAACAATGAAAAAAGATAAAGTGAGAGGTTTTTGGAGAGGGCGAGGTTGGTGATGAGGGTGGATTCGGAACAAGGGTGGCGGTGCCTTTGGGGAGCTGCGGTTAAAACCAGCCAAAAGGTTGGGGGAAGAGGAAAGAGGATTAAAAAAAAAAAACACACGTGTTGGTTTTTTAAGAAGCCCACGTCATGGTTGAGGAGGAATGGGTCGTCATACATCAGGAGCCAAGCGTTGTCTTTTTATTTATATGGTATGTTGATTTAACGAGAAGGTTCAGTTTGGGGTTACGGTGCTTTAAAAAGAAGCAGCTTATTTTAAAATTTTTGAACCCAAAGCTGTTTGGTAAAACAAGACAAAGCTGCGTTTTTTCAAAATTGGGGGTCATTGGCAGCAGATTTCGGAAGCAGCTGGAGGGGTACTTTTAAAAGCTGCTGTGGATGGAAGGAAGCATGCGGAGGTTTTAATGAATATTTCGATATACCTGTATTGTCCTCATTTGTTTTCGAAAATGACGCGATTTACCCTTATCATTTTTCACACACAGAATTGAAACTCCCTCACCCGTTCAGAATCACACACCCACCCAGCCCCTCCAACACCACAAACTCACCCACCTCGCCATAACCTCCCTCCCCCGTGAGATGCAGATCTAAGAAATTTGTTCAGATTCTGGGAGGTGGCCGTGTTTATGGCAGGATTTTTGGGTTGGGTGAGAGAGAGAGAGAGAGAGAGAGAGAGAGAAGGGTGGTGGCGTGGTGGTTGTTTTCATGTGGGGCTGGCGGGGTGAAGGGGGTGGGTGTGGGTGTGGGTGTGCTGAGTAGGGGGTGGGGTGGGGGAGGGATGTAGAACTGGCCTCTGCAGTGGCGTGAGAGGAAAGGAGGGAGTTGGAGAGAGAGAGAGAGAGAGAGAGAAGAGAGAGAGAGGGGTGGTGGGGCTGTGGACTTTTTTGGTGATGTTTCGGATGTTGCTGTGGGCTCCGTTGCTGGAGCTGGATGGAAGAGTTGGTTATATATATATATATGTTTCGTAAAAAATATATATATTCCTTTACTTGATCAAAGAAATTATCATATATATAATATATAATTTAATAAACTTACACATATTGCTACTATTTTTACTATATAAAGCCCTTTTATTAATGAATATATACATATAATTTTTTTATACATATTTACACAAATCCCTTTTATTTATTATTGTGATGTATCTTTTACATTTGTTATTCTTAACCTACATAATAATATATAAACCCCTTTTATTACTTGCATATTATTCATTTTCTAAAGTTTCATCACAAATTTCCATGCTTTTCTACCACTTTCCATCATTTTTATTCCATTTTTATCGATATTTCCAAAACCATAGATATTTAAATCCTTGGTTAGAACGTATATGCAAGGCTCCATACCTACCAGCTTGCTTACACTTTTTGATAGGTTGGCACACCAAGATGTTTGATCCGCCACTGCAGAAGGGTGGGAAGGAAAAGGGGGAAGCTTTCATTCATCCTGTTTGTTTATCATCATTTAATTTCTTACAGATATATGGAATATAATTTTAGGAATTTCAAAATATTTCAAGTGATGTATTTTGTGTATCTTCAATTCTACCTCATAATTCAATCCAATCCTATTCACAAAATGGCCCAAATTGTTTTTACATTGTTTCTCTTCTTTGAGGGATTCAGTCTTTTTACCTATTACTTAGCTGTTGGTATATTCTTAATTTAGCTTTTGATATATCAGTTATGAGCTAATTATTTGCTTCTTGTATCTTGTGAGAACTTTGCAGGAAGTAGTAGTGTATTTTGGGGAATTTGAAACTGCAAAGAGAAACATGCAGCACATAGCACCAATACCATACCATTAGTTACTTTTACAAACTAATGGTATATTTGGTATCTGTATTTTATTTATATGGTATATTGATTTAAAGAGAAGGTTCAGTTTGGGGTTGCGGTGCTTTAAAAAGAAGCAGCTTATTTTAAAAATTTTGAACCCAAAGCTGTTTGGTAAAACAAGACAAAGCTGCTTTTTTTTTTCAAAATTAGGGCTCATTGGCAGCAGATTTCGGAAGCAGCTAGAGCGGTGCTTTTAAAAGCTGCTGTGGATGGAATCATGCGGAGGTTTTAAAAGCTGCTGTGGATGCATTTCGAAAATGACGCGATTTACCCTTATCATTTTTCACACACAGAATTGAAACTCCCTCCCCCGTTCAGAATCAGACACCCAGCCAGCCCCACCAACACCATAAACTCACCCACCTCGCCATAACCTCCCTCCCCCGTGAGATGCAGATCTAAGAAATTTGTTAAGATTCTGGGATGCGGCTGTGTTTATGGCAGGATTTTTGGGTTGGGTGGAAGAGAGAGAGAAAGAGAAAGGTGGTGGTGTGGTGGCGGTTTTCATGTGAAGCTGGCGCGGGGAAGGCGGTGGGGTGGGGGAGGGATGTAGAACTGGCCTGTGCAGTGGTGTGAGAGGAAAGGAGGGAGTTGGAGAGAGAGAGAGATAGAGAGAGAGAGGGGTTGTGGGGCTGTGGACTTTTTGGTGATGTTTCGGATGTTGCAGTGGCCTACGTTGCTGGAGCTGATGGGAGAGTTGTTTTTAATTTTTTTTGTTCTTTAAGATTTGTTTGTCTTAATTTTCAATTGATTTAAAAATTCCTTACTTATTTCTAAAATATATATATATATATATATCCTTTACTTTATCAAAGAAATTATCATATATATAATATATAATTTAATAAACTTACACATATTGCTAATATTTTTACTATATATAAAGCCCTTTTATTACTGAATATATACATATAATTTTGTTATATATTTACATAAATCTCTCTTATTTATTATTATTATGTATCTTTACATTTGTTATTCTTAACCTACATAATAATATATAAACCCCTCTTATTACTTGCATTTTAAGTTATAGTGTTTGTTAGCTCGCACTATGCTCAACTTAAATCACTCAAACTCATCATACAATGTAGGGGTGGGCATCAAAACCAGAATACCGAAACCGTCCTGAAATCGTGTCAGTCTCGTGTCGTCCCATTTGGTGTTGAAGTGTAAACGGGATGATACCATGTTATCCCATTATTGTTTGGCACAACACCGGTTCTAGATTTGTGATCCTGTTTGGGGCTATACTGTACCGAACAGTACCAGGTATATAATAAACCCCAATTTCAAATTCCTCCTCTCCCACGAACATTTCGACTCCAGCTTTGTTTCCTCTGTCTCCCTTCTCTTCTCCTTTCCTTACCTCTATTCTCCTCCTCCTCCTCCTCCTCCTCCTCTCTCTCTCTCTCTCTCTCTCTCTCTCTCTCTCCAAAGTGTATAAAATCGGTGGAAAAGGAAAGCCACAAAGTTTGTCCGAGTTTTTGTGTAGAAAAATCAGGGGGTTGAAGATCGTATTGTTGGTACCGGAGCTTTGGGAGGCGGCATCTTCTTCAAACCTGTTTCCCTCTGCTACCGCTATTTTAGTCCGATCTCAGGTATTCATATATGAAAAGTTGTTTTGGTTTGCAATAATTTGTTTTCAAAATTGAGAAATTGTTTTTATTTTGGTTTTGTGTTTATAGAAATTGTTCTGATTGAATTTGGGAATTTGGAATGGTAAGAGGCCCCGAAACTCATCTTTGTCTTTGTTTGTACTTAATTTGGCTTGATTTGTTTTGTAAAAGCCTATGTGAAATTTCCATTTCTTGCTTTGTAATTTGACAAGTCTTGAACTTGAACTCTTGATTGATTGTTTGTTTTGTTTGTATTAGGCATGATTTGTTGTAAAAGTCTATGTGAGATTTGATTTCCATTTCTCTTGAACTTTGTATGAGATTTCCATTTCTTGGTTGGTCTTGAATCAAGACTCTTGATTGTTTGTTTTGTTGTATTAGGCTTGATTTGTGAAAGCCAATGTGAATGTATTCAATGTATCGTATAATTTGGCAAGTCTTGAACAAGACTCTTGAATCTTGATTGTTTGTAAACTTTGTATCAGACTTGATTTATAAAAATTGCAAGATTTCTGAATTTTTGCAAGATTTTTTACGGTATCAACATTGATACCGAATCATACCGGTCTCGTTTGGGTCTGGTATGGTTTGAACATGTTCTCAAAAACTCTCATCCCGTGTCATCCCATCTCGATTTCCCTATCTGGGATTGACACCGGGATAACCTCCATCCCGTTTCATTCCATACCGTGCCCACCCCTAATACAATGCATTTTTCTCAAAAAATAGTGTCAAAACAATAGATAATTGACTAATTGAACATCTTCTAAAGTTTCATCACAAATTTCCATGTTTTTCTACCACTTTCCGTCATTTTTATTCGATTTTTATCGATATCGATATTTTGTGTTTTTAGACCACCAATATTTCCAAAACCCTTAGATATTTAAATCCTTGGTTAGAACGTATATGCAAGGCTCCATACCCACCAGCTTACTTACACTTTTTAATTGGTTGGCACACCAAGATGTTTGATATGCCATTGCAGGAGGGTGGGACGGAAAAGGGGGAAGCTTTCATTCATCCAGTTTGTTTATAATCTTTTAATTTCTTACAGATATGGAATATAATTTTAGGAATTTCAAAATATTTCAAGTGATGTATTTTGTGCATCTTCAATTCTACCTCATAATTCAATCCAATCTTATTCACAAAATGGCCCAAATTGTTTTTACACTTAACCCAAGCACGTTTCGGAGATAACATATATACATACATGCTGCTATACGATTGTTTCTCTTCTTTGAGGGATTCAGTCTTTTTACCTATGAGCTAATTATTTGCTTCTTGTCTTCTGAGAACTTTGCAGGAAGTAGTGTATTTTGGGGAATTTGACACTGCAAAGAGAAACATGCAGCACATAGCACCAATACCATACCATTAGTTACTTTTACAAACTACACCAACTTGAAGCGTAAATCAACCACCACAATGGCTATTGGCTAGGTAAGTTCCAAGTCAACCTATTTCGTGTTAGCATGGTACAACTTATAGTTGCATGGTACAATAATAATACAGTAATTACTTGGGCTTAATTTGTAGCTGGTTTGTGAGTATAGGATATACCAATAAATGATATGTAATACTACTTCACTCAGAAAAATAAAAAAAAAATTAAATAGAGCAACGCAATATGAAATTCAACACCCAAAACTGAAAATGATAGAAATTACTAGAAAATGAAAGAGCCGTACGCAAATTACAGTAAACCACTCAACTAAACAAAGTCTTAAGCTGATAGATTTCTTAACAGAGTCTACAGGTCCAAAAGTTGAAGCTCTATTGTATGTGTTTGTGACATTGGATCTGGAGTATGAATTCGGAGAATACAAAATAATACGTTTACCAGATTGGAAGCTCTCTATGTATCGCATCCTCTCAAATTACAGCATTTATGTCAATGCCCTTATAAAGCATGTAATTGAATAACTCTAGGGGCACTTCTGGGAAGAAGTGAGCGAGCCCTAGCTCAAAACAAAGTGGTTAGAAAGTTGATGCACTTGTTTTATAAAATTTGAAATGGTTGATGCACTTGTATTAGAAAATTTGAATTGGTTGATGCACTTCACCAATAAATCCGTATTCACTATTTCCTCTATTGTCTGCAAAAATTGAATACAAACATGTTTTAGAGAATAATAATATTTAAAAAATCTAAAAATCAAATTTAGGTCATGTTAATACCAAAACTGCATCTGCTGCTATTTTCTCTGGTTTCTGCAATAATTGAATAATAATAAACGTTAGAGTAGTTTAACATAAATTAAAAAGCACTTTCAGGTCATGTGTATACCGCATTTTCCTTCTCGAGGGCCTCGTAGATATAATCATTAACATGAACGAGTGCATGTCTGAAAAACATGAGTGCTCCTAGCGCATTTGGGTCGTATACAACTCGTGGATAACTGTAAACCTTAGAGAAAGCAAAGGCACCGCGAAAAGTTCCAGAAACAATTTTACCAAAGTCAACCTTTTCTCTCGCTATAACCTTTTTGTAATCCTTTTTCCAACCTTTTTTCTCAATGTCAAGATGTGTATAGAGATGGATTATAAACATGGCTCCTTCGTTAGACGATAACAGTAGGGGATGCCACTGTAGTTGCTTAAAATAGAACCTGCACTTAATGAAAGAGAGTAAGAGATGAGAATATTGGCTTTCCAAGTAATTCACACTACATATTTCGTGTGCCCTGATTTGGGTTTTTATATTGAACATGTTTAAGTTGAACTAAGTCTGCATTTCTTTTTATGTTGTATTATTTCATCTGTGGGTGTGTGAATTGGCTTTCTTAATGCATGACCCTATACGAATAAAATAAGTTATCAGGAGCTTGCTTACCAAGGTATGCAATATTCTATCATTTTGAGAAAATGCTTTGACGCCAGGGGACAAGTAGCTTCCCAAGCATCAATCATTTTTGATGCTAATGTTCGAAATTGTTCGCGATAGCTTGGCATGGCTGGGTTGTATTTATGTGGGGTATCCAAAATCTCAACCTCCAGATTCTCAGCCTCATTGCCAATAACTAAGATATTTTCACCAGTCAAGGGCCCATGTGTTATGCCTTTAGACCCCAAATGAGCAACTTTCCCTGTGAGACTTCTGAAAAGGGAATAAGGTTAATAATAGCATTAAATGAAAGGGGAATGCTAGCAACCTTCTCTTTAACTTTCTCCTTTGAACCTTCTCCCTTTTCCTCATGACATGCGTCACTTTTCTTACACTTAACACAATGTCATCAATGGTGTCATTTATGCATCACACAAGATAATTTTTGTTTCCAAGTTTACCCTTATTAAATGTATTGATTTTCTTTTACAACTTTCTTACCACCTTATTAAAAAAAATTAAAAAATTAATGCTATGCTAGGACAGAAATTTTTTTCTTTAAGCATGAAAGAAGTTCATGCTATGCTAGGACAGAAATTTATGATCATAGTCTGTATCCTTTGGAAAAACGAAAAGCCTTTTTTATAAAAAAAAACCTACGCTGTTCTTATTTAATTTTGTAATATGGTGGAAAGAAAGTTATTCTAGGACTGAAGATTTTATTAGCAACGTATGCATTGTTTGGAAAAACAAAAAGTAAGCACTTTTTTATATATAAAAAAACCTATGTTTTTTTGTATTTTATTTTGTAATAACGTGGAAAAAAAGTTGTAAAATACTAGCTTGTTGTAAAAAAAAAAAATCTAACACATTTAATAAGGGTAAACTTGGTAAACAAAAATTAGCTTTGTGTGATGCATTGATGACATGGTTTTAAGAGTAAGGAAAGTGACACATGTCATGAGAAAAAGGGAGAAGGTTCTAGAAGGTTGCTAGCATTCCCCTAAATAAAATTTCATATATAATAGAAAAGTTAATGGTAAATGCAACTGACCTAAGTATGTTTTGACTCCCACGCTTGAACTGCTCCTCATCCCATTGATAACAATTCTCCAAGAACTCTTTTAAGAGACATTCAGCGTACAATCGTTGTGCAGGTGCTGGAGCAGCAGTTGTGTTGGCCACTGATGGACTTGCCACATAAGCAGCAGCTGTCTGTGCCGATGAGGATGACCCTTGTTGTGCTGATAAAGGACCAGGATCAGCTTGCAGTACAGGTTTGAAAAGACTTACCCATGTACGTTCCGTTGAAGTAGCAGCTATCTGTGCTGATAAAGGACCAGGATCAGCTTGCAGAGCTACTGGCTTGGCACATGCTGCTGATACACCAGTATGTGGATCTCGTTGTGCCGATGATAATGGGCCTTGTGCTGAAGAAGGATTGGCACACATCGATGCTTTGTTTCTTGACCTCTTGTTGGCCATTAATCTGAGGTAAAGGTACGTCGTATCATATTAGTACTAGATATATAATAATTTAATAATAAACAAAAGAAAAACATGCAAACATGTTCACCAATTTAGTTAAACCTGTCAAACAGAATAAGTGGTTTGCTTGAAAACTAAACCGTTCCATAAGAGTAAATCAAGATCTTCTAGTAGTTGTTTCTACCAAATTTACATCTTTATTAAGTTTTGTTTAGGCGTGATTAAGCTTTCTTGGAACTTCAATTTTTGCTCACTGAATATAAATATAAGGAGCTGGTTGAAGCCCATGAAACCTAACTGAGCCCCACAAAACAAGTTTTGTTTTGTCATTCTCTAGGGAGGGGAGGGGGAAGTATTATATTTGGTTACCTCAAAATTTTCTATTACGTGAATCGAACCCGGTTGACTTAAGGGGTGGGGGAGATTTTGGCCCACACACCATGGTGCCACCCCATGTGCTAACACAAAACAATTTTACAAAAAAAAAATATAGCATGTAAATTATAAGAGATAAAAATTTAGAGCACAGGCTGAAAGGATTTGATGTGACGTCATTTCCCATGTCATTTCCTAAGCGATGGGAAATTGAAGAATTCCTTCGCTCTCCCATGTTTGGTAATCCTAAGAAGATATCTAGGAAAGACCAATTTATTTTGGGAAAAAAAAATTAAAAGACGCACAATTATTTCAAATCAACTCAGATAATTGCAAAAAATTTAAATCACAACAATCAAAATCAGCCACTCCAGCAAGAATTCCTTCGGTCTCACAGCAAGACTTTCAGTCCCTTTATCAGATGCTCCAATTTCAATTTCTTGCACTCGGAACAGTAGCAGATACAGAGACATTGAAGCAGCTCCACATAGAGAGAGAGAGAGAGAGAGAGAGAGAGAGTGGGAAGTAGAAGGAAGAAGAAAAGATGAGAGAGATAAGAGAGGGAGAGATGGAGGTGGGTGCTTTCTCTATAAAAGGGGAGAGATAAGAGGTAGTAGTAGTATAGATGAGAGGGGGGTAGGTTTAGGGTTTAGGGTGATTTAATAATTGACGGGCTTAATATATTTTGAGGACATTGGACATTGGGCTTTAAGTTGGGCTTAATATATTTGAAGGAGATTGGGCTTAATATATAAAAATAGTTGGTTTAAATACATAAAAAGTTGGCTTAATATATTTAATAACTGATATTGTTTTTTATTTTGTCTTGGGGGTAGAATGTGAAATTCAAACTCTGTTGGGTGTGATATGTTTTTTAGTAGAACTAGAAGCTCCCTATGACTAAGCCCTCCAAAGTCCCCTTTCCGATCCATTCAAATGAGTCCCCTGCTAGTGCTCCCGACTTTTTTTGTACGATTTTCAGTCAGGTTTTGACTTTTTTGGTCAATTCTATTTTTTTCGGTTACTTTCCATTCAATTATTCGATTTGTTCGGTTCGATTTTTATGGCCACCCACTACCTCTACATACAAAAAGAGACTCATAGAATAGAACCATATATATAATACTGTGTGGCCCCAATATTATATGTGACGCATTCGACAGGTTCTAGGTTCCAAGTTCCAAGTACTAAATAAATATTACTAAATAAGTGGCCAAAGGAAGCTTAAAAAGGGCTACTGTGTGGCCCATCCACGTGGGAACTGATCAAGAATTCAATGTATTTTCTCCTTTTTCGATTTGTTAACAAAATATTATATTTAGAATAATGGCATTCATCTCTTTCACAACCCACTTTCTTTATTTCTTATTGGGTAAATTCTTCTTCACTGAACCGTTCAATCAGTTACAGTTATTTTTTTTTCTTTGCAGTTTAGCAACAACTTTTTAGACAAATGCCAGTCAAAGCAGCCATGCCAGGTTCCCCAGCCTTTTGCTTATCATCAGCAGAAAATTAATTGATTAAGTTATGCACCAGAAATTAAGAAATGAAAATAAAGAGAGAAAGGGTGTAAAAGAAAAGCATTATGAGTATCAAGCAATACGTAGCACAATAGAGGTGAAGTGGAGGACAACCAAGAGGCTAATATCACAAAAGAATTGGTGATTCAAAAGAAAATTTCATGACTAGTTTGTGGAGATTTACCTTGAGAGTGAAATTCACTGCATGAACTGAGAAACGATTGAGGAATGCGAGCAGTGCTGGAGAGATATTAAGACTGCCATACACCAAATTTATGAACAAAAAAAAATTGTGAATAAATTCATGACAAACCAATGATGTATAAACAAAAGTAATAAGTAATGGCAAATATCAAAGGGTGTTTTGTTTCTTTTAATTTTTTCTCCTTTCACACATGGGTGTTACAAAAAGACAGATATAGAAAGAAGAAATTACTGACCCAAAATTGTATTCTCACAGACACAGCAACCCAGAGAAGTGATGCCATGGCTTTGTTATGCAACTATCAGCGCTAAACTGAACACCTGGTAGCACAGTAGTAAGATAGAAAAGTTTCTTTGAGATAACCCAGAACTGAAATCTCAAGAAAAATTCAAATGAAATTAAACAGAAAGAGCATAAGTAATCAAAGAAAATGTATCAGAAATAATAAAATAAACTGTATTAGGAACAAATATTAGAGCAGTTTCATACATTTCATTTGAAGAACAAATCTAACTTGCTAAATTTGTCTTAAGTATCTCAGACTTGCAAGGCTCAGCCCACAGATCTAAACTTAGATCTACAAAAAGAGAGAGGAGAAAACTGGAGCAAGAAAAGCAAACATCACCAGAGAAAGAGAAGGAAAAGAGAAAAGGAAGAAAAAGAGAAAGGATGAAGCAAGAAAGAAAAGTGGGAGAGTTTGTGATGAAGTCCAACGGCCAATATGGAATTTGACCAATGTTTTCGGAGGAACTGTAACAATTAAGCCTAAAACCAAGAAATCATAGGAAAATTGTAAGGAAAATATCATATACAATGGTTTTAAGAGCATTACCTCATCAGATTGATTCAATTCCAACTAATTTGACATGTTACTTGGCAATAAGTTTTTATTTGAATGTGCAATCTAGATTCATATCACATAACATGTCAAACCACTATTGATTTGGCTACATAATATTAATCATTTTATAGATATAACAGTTGCTTCGTGTACATACAATTCCTTGAATTAATTATACATTCCTAACCAAAGTGGGAGGCACACACAAAAAGTAACTGTGACTTCCTAAAATCATAATTAATCATCTTAAATAGCAAGAAGGAAAAGAAAAGCTGACCAATGTTTTGAAGTCTACCCAATCCATTGGCACCAAAAATCAACTCCTTTTCATCATCATCACAACCAAATGTGAAAAAAGATCTCCAAATTTCTTCAGCAATCAAACAAAATCGGAACAAAGAAAGCAAAATATCATTTAAGGATTTCCTATTATGGGCTTCAATGGGTTAAATGTGAAAAAAGATCTCCAAATTTCTTCAGCAATCAAACAAAATCGGAACAAAGAAAGCAAAATATCATTTAAGGATTTCCTATTATGGGCTTCAATGGGTTGTTGAAGATGGATATATTATAAAGAATATCATCAACGGCTAATATCACAAAAGAATTGGTGATTCAAAAGAAAATTTCATGAATAGTTTGTGGATATTTAACTTGAAAGTGAAATTCACTTCATGAACTGAGAAACGATTGAGGAATGCGAGAAGTGCTGGGGAGATATTAAGACTGCCATAGACCAAATTTATGAAGAAAAAAAAATTGTGACAATAAATTCATGACAAACCAATGATGTATAAACACAAGTAATAAGTAATGGCAATTATCAAAGGGTGTTTTGATTCTTTTATTTTTTTGTTCTTTGAAACACGGGTGTTACAGATATTGAAAGAAGAAATGACTGACCCAAAATTGTATTCTCACAAACCCTTCAACCCAAAGAAGTGATGCCATGGCTTTGTTATGCAACTATCAGCGCTAAACTGAACACCTGGTAGCACAGTAGAACCAAGATTAAAAAGTCGAACTGAATTCTTTGGGATAACCCAGAACTGAAATCTCAAGAAAAATTCAAATGAAATTAAACAGAAAGAGCATAAGTAATCAAAGAAAATGTATCAGAAATAATAAAAGAAACTGTATTAGGAAATAATATTAGAGCAGTTTCGTACATTTCATTTGAAGAACAAATCTAACTTGCTCAACTTGTCTCAAGTACCTCGGACTAGCAAGGAAAAATACATCAGCCCACAGATCTAAACTTAGATCTACAAAAAGAGAGAGAAGGAGAAAACTAGAGCAAGAGAAGAAAACCACACCAGAGAAAGAGAAGGAAAAGAGAAAAGGAAGAAAAAGAGAAAGAATGAAGCAAGAAAGAAATGTAGGAGAGAGTTTGTGATGAAGTCCAAGGGCCAATATGGAATTTGACCAATGTTTTCGGAGGAACTGTAACAATTAAGCCTAAAACCAACAAATCATAGGAACAAATTTTTGAAAAAAAAACTGTATTATAATAAAAGAAACTGTATTAGGAACAAATATTAGAGCAGTTTTGTACATTTGATTTGAAGAGCAAATCTAACTTGTTGAACTTGTCTCAAATATCTCAGACTTGCAAGGAAAAATACATCAGCCCACAGATCTAAACTTAGATCTACAAGAAGAGAGAGAAGGAGAAAACTGAAGCAGAAGAAGAAAACCGCACCACCAGAGAAAGAGAAGGAAAAGAGAAGGAAGAAAAAGAGAGAGGATGAAGCAAGAAGAGAGAGAGAGAGAGATGGAGGTGACTGCTTTCCCTAGTATGGTTAGATCAAACATTCCAGCTCAGACATTCCAAAATCACAATGAAATTTAAAAACTTCAAAGTCACTCTAAAATCCAAATCAAACAAAAACAAAAACACTTTGATTAAATTACAACATATAATACAAAATCGCGTTCCCAGCTCAAATATTCATCCACCAACAATATCCTCAGTCAATTCTTCCAAGTTGGGTGCTAAAGTGAGATTTTCTACATTTCAAACTATAAGACTTTAGATGATTATAAAAAGAAATCCAGTAAAACAAAGAAATCCATATGTATCACATATCCTAATGTCTCTAGTCGACAAGCAGAATATTATAAGGGATTGAATTCTTAAGTAGCTAACATGCCAAACAAATCAAGGAGCATTCAGTGTTTAGTTCAAAAACAAGCATATTATCCATGTTACGGGGGAATGGTAAGAATATATGGTGCCACCTTGGAGTCTTGGACCACCAACTATCCCCATTTCCAGATTTAAACATATGAACAGCTAGCACAATGTAATGAATTTTTTTAGTACAGTGCAATTATAAGTAATTAACAGAAGAATGTGACAGATAAGATGCATTCCAGCAACATTCATACATGTATATAGATGCATTTACTCAAGGAGGTTAAAATGAAAAATTAAAGGACAAAAATGTAATAAATTTTCCTGAGACTCAAATCATGCATCACCATGAAGTCATAAACAGACAGATATACAATACATACATAACCTTCCCCAAGGGGAGCCATACCCCCCTGATAGGAGCTTCTTACAAGGGAGAGATAAAGCCATCAAATTAAGCAGTCAAGAGAACTCTAGTACCACCCAGGATATATAAATGCAAAGCATACATATGGTAACTATAACGGACGACACGAACCCGAGAGGATTCAGCCCAAAGCTTATGCAGAATTTTACGTTAGTCAAAACAGAAACAAAAACAAAAACAAAAACAAAGAAATCCAGCAAAATAGAAACAAAAAGATCAAGCAAAACAGAAAATTAATCACAACAGAGACAAAGAAATCCAAGAAACAAAAGATAAATAGAGAGATGAAGGGGGAGAAATAACCTGAGAGAGACAAATAGAGTGATTTCTGGTTCTTCACTCTTGAGAGTGCAGCGAAACAAAACTCAAAACCCCTTTTCTTTCTCTTCTCTCAGTCACAGCCTCCATGGACGACTCCAAGCTTTCTGCCAAGGTATCAGTGGATGATGATGATGGCGAGGATGATGCTGGGAATTCGAAATATGATGTTTTGGGGGCTGAGGATGTGGTCAGGGAGTCTTTTGTTACTGATAGGGATTTGAAGACTATTGGGGGTGAGGGTTCTGTGGAGAACTTGGGAACGAATAACCAGTGAGATCTTGGTTAAACTTGAGAATGCAGAGATGGAGAGACTGAGATTCAGAATTAGGTTAATGAGATGAGCAAGAGAACAAGTTTACTTTATATATGCGTGTGTTTTTCTAAGTTTCAACTTAAACGGGTTATTGGATTTTAAGAGGGTTGACACGAGCGGTGGCACGACTCATTTAATAAAATGGTATACTAGTGATTTGCCCCTGAACTTGTACATAACTTTCGATTTATCCCATATTCTCTTTTTTAAGAAAATTAAGAATATGAACTTCTTTTTTTCGTCAATTTTCCCCCTACCGTCTAAATCATTAAGCAACCCTATCACCAACCCCTCTCCCCCAGCTATATCTCATTCAGCAACCCCATCAACCCTAAACTCTAAAATCCTAGCCAAAACTCATCCCCACGAGAGATACATTCCAAGCCCCAACCGAAACCCATCGCTAGTAGAAATTCCAAAAAGGGCTGCGTTCTGAACAGATCCACAGAATTTGACCTGAAGTGCACTTGAAAAATTGAAATTAGCATAACAAAGATTGAGCTTTAGACCTTTGGACAAAAAGAAAAAGAAAAAGAAAGAACACTTCTTTCATGTTTCCAGTGATTGGATCACGGTAACAGGCAGCAAGAAGAGTTAAAGTGCAGTAGGTGATAAAGGAGAACAAGACCATCACAATAGGACCAGCAATCCATCCAAGCTGAGCCATGGCCCAAGCCAAGGACAAAACCTAGCTGAAACCCCAGTCGAAACCCATCCCTAGCCCTTGCCCCCAAGACCCAGACCCATCCCATCTCCCAAGCGCAGACTCATCCAATGCCCCAACCCTTGTGTTGCATAGATACAGCTGCACCAAAATGGATTCAGTTGCATCATCAACTTGTGATACTCGCAAGTGCACGAACCATTGGTAGTTTAGCGTATGTAAGTGCGAGGTCGATTCCACAGGGATTGGTGATTGAATGATCCAATTTAGTTTCCCTACACAAAACAGAAATGAAAAAGAAAGGAAATAAATAAAACAAGGAAGAAAGAAATAACTAACTCAAGGAAATAAGTTCCCAAGTTCAATTAGATTAATGGATTGGTTCTAGCTAAAGTATGATTAAGCCATGGTGTGTGGTCATAACCTTGTGTTCCTAATTCCCTAATTTGATCATTTGTTGTCTAACCTAAAATTAAGCATTAGGAACCCATTAAGCATAGAAGAACAATTTAAACAAC